TATTGACAATATTGAGCTGAAGCTTGACTTTGCAAATTTAAAATCGCAAATCAAATCGCAATCGCAATATCTGTCAAAAAAATCGCAATTTGATATTTTCCCCGAAATCGCACAGCCCTAGCATTAAGTCATTATATTGTCTGATATATCAACCTCCCAATCTAACCAATGCTGAAGATAAGCTAATACTCAAGTCTGATACATCACAAATCTATAGCAGAAACTACTGAATGGACATATGTGAACTGGACATATTATGCAACTATAAATGTTTCAAACAGTAGTGTATGCTATATTGTTGTCTAGATTAATTCAACAAGTGGCATCCAGCCATCATCTTGGAAATAAAATCAATATACATTTGAATGCAATTTTAATTTAATCATTAATAATTAACTTTTGGCAAATAATGAGCCAAGAAAGAGACCTTAACAATCATGGTATATTAATTTAATTCATCAAACTGGAATATAAGGTTAAGTTGTTCGCATTGCACTTTGAGATTCTATATTCTTTGCAGTGTGACTTGTTTTATACTGCTCATTTTAGCAATTGCAGTAAATCATTCTAGTATTCCATGGGTACAGAAAACGTGTACTGTAAACTATGAACATACATACCAAATAATGAAGAAATAGTAAGTAGTTTGCATGTAGCATGGGTTTTAATTCCAACTTGCCCTCAGAGAACTGAAAAAAAAAAAACCTAATAAGAGCAGAAAATGTGAACAACATTCCTCAAACATGTGACCTACTTAATTAAAACAGCATTCTGTGAGAAAAAGTAGTTTCTGGTAGTTCATAGTTGCTAACACACAACTAGGAAACACTTCAGTTGCCTACAGCTCTTATAATCAGTAGTCCACGTCAGCCTAGAGAGTTATGGGAATCGCTCAGCTGTGAGTAGGCCTATGTGCACACCATGGCCTTACTTATGCACTCTGATCACTTATTGGCACATATTACCTCACTATGAGTACAAACACAAACACACACTCACACAAAGATTTGTTTGGAAACCTCTTGTCT